AGCATAACACACCATAACCAAGTATGGTTTACCGCAGGAATGTCAGTGGTTTGACATTTGAAAACCAATCAGCATAACTTGTTGTTTAAAGGGAAAATGATGCACTCATCTCAGCAGATAAAATAAGAAAATCACCTGACAGAACTCTCAGCAAAGTAGGAATACAAGAGAACTTCCTGAGTCTGATAAACATATGAAAACTCTTCTCCTAGTGCCATATTTAGTGGTGAAATATGGGATGTACTTTCCCCAAGATCAAGAACAATACAAGTAGTTTATTCTACGTTGACCTAGAATTCCTAGTCAATCCAACAAAACAAAGACAGTTTGTAAATGAAGAAATTCCTTACAGATGTCATTATTATGTCTATAGAAAATCTTTTTTTGAAAAGTTTCATTTATTTTTATTGCAAAGACAGATCAGATTTGTGAAGAGAAGGAAAGATAGAAATATCCTCCATCGGCTGGTTAACTCCCCAAATGGTTACAATGCCAGAGCTGAGCTGATCCAAGAGCCAGAACCTTCTTCCAGGTCTCCCACACCAGTGCAGGGGCCCAAGGCTTTGGGCGGTCCTTGACTGCTTTCCCAGGCCACAAGAAGGGAAGCAGAACAGCAGAGACACAAACCAGTGTCTATATGGAATCCTGGCACTTTAAAAGCTGGGATTTAGCCACTGAGCCATCATGCCAGGCCCAACTGTAGAAAATCTTAAGAAATCTACTCCAATAAATAAATAAATAAATAAAACTTAAGAATAAAAAAAATTACTCAACCCTGGATACAAATTCAATATATAAAAAGTCCATCATTTTAGCACTGCAGAAATTGGTTATTTTTGAATTGAAAATGTAAAGATTGTTATAAACAGTAACATAAAAGTCTGAAATACCTGGGCATATATTTGAATGAAAATACACAAACACTAAAAATATGTAGGGACCAGCGCAATGGCCAGGCGGCTAAAGTCCTTGTCTTGCATGTGCTGGGATTCCATATGGGCACTGGTTCGTGTCCCAGCGTCCTGCTTCCCATCCAGCTCCCTGCTTGTGGCCTGATGAGGGAGTCCAGAACAGCCCAAGGCCTTGGGAGATCTGAAGGAGGCTTCTGGCTCCTGGCTTTAGATTGGCTCAGCTGTGGTCATTGCAGTCGCTTAGAGAGTGAAGCAACAGATAGAAGATCTCACTCTCTGTCTCTTCTCTCTTTTTTACCTGACTCTCCAGTAAAAATAAAGTAAATCTTTAAAAAAGCCTTAATGCTGAGATAATTTGAAGAAAATGTAAATAAATATCCTGGTATGTCATGTTCAATGATGGAAAGATTTCAGCATTGCTAAGATAACAGCTATGTTTAAATTGCTTTCCAGATAGACCACAAGGCCAATCAAACTCCCATTAGATTTGTTGAAATAGACCAGCTGATTCATTATATTGAGGGGCAAAGCATTGAAGATCATCAAAACAATCAAAAGAAGAGCAAATTTGTAGGACATTACATGATCTTAAAACTCATTTTGTAGTTAAAGCAAGCCAAAGAGTTTGGTGGTGCTGTGAGAACAAACCATTATAGAATAGAGTACAAACATAGACCCTCACGTAGAGTCAACCAGTCTTCAACAAAGATGCCAATTAAATGGGGAAAATCAATTCAGATTTGCTATGCGATCATCTTATATTAAATTTTCACATTAGTTATTAAGGACAGAGAGGCTGTGACTTATTGATCTCCTGTGAAGAAGTCTCATTAATCTCCTTGGGCATTCTATTTGTATCCATTGAGTTCAGTTAAATCTAATACAATACTCTGAAAGTTATATACCATATATCTGGAATTTGATATATTTATAAAATAAAAGAAAGACTCATGATAGTTCAATCAAAGCAATGATTCTAAGAGCTACTTTAGAGACATGAGCAAGGATTTAATAGAAATATATACAGTTTTATTAAAGTATAGGCATATTTTCTAGAGTTAACTTTTCCTCCCAAGATGTGACTACTTTGCTTAAACTATTTGATGAATGTCAGATAAAGAAATAGCCTGAGACTCATGTCATATTAGGCTTCCTAACTCTTAGAAGAGCCTTGGGCATAGAAAGTACTAAAGAAATGCTAATTAACTTATTCATTTATCCAGTGTTTCTCACCCACCAAGTATTAAGCATATAAAAATAAAAAAGCCAAATTTTACTCTGTCTTTAAGACTTCACTAAAATAAATACTCACTTATTCTAGAACATAAATAATTAATGATTGCACTTTGTAGACCACTAATCATATGTTGTTTATGGTTTATATTAGTGCCATATGTAATATATATTGTATCTAAAACTATATTTCCTGGTAGCTACATTCAAAAATAAATGTAAACAAGTGAAGGAAATTGGGCAATACATTTAATCTAATTTATATGCAAAGTATTATTTCAACATACAGTCAATTCTCTTCGGACTATTAAAGAAATATTTTAAAACATTTAATCACTAAGTTTTGAATATTGAGTATATATTTTTACACTTACAGCATGCCTCAGTTTGGGCAAGCCGTATTTCCAGTATTCAGTAGCCACATGTGGCTAGTTGTCACCTCATTAGATGTTGAAGACTTGTGTGAATTAAACCTTTTCAGCTACAGTGTATTGAAATTTACAAGTGGATTCCATACCTGGTGCTATTGCTGATATTAGAAGAAATGAAGTATATCTAAGTAAAAGCTCTATTCCTTGTTAGAAGTGTTGGTATTTGTGATCGGGAAGCATCTAATTTTGTCATAGGTGTAGAACGCCACACAAAGTGGCCTTGGAGAATTTCAGACATTTTTGGTAATCAGTGATGCAACCAATAATGAGACAACTTTGCAGGATCCACCCAAGATACTGCTTGTTAAATTTCTCAATTACTGTCTGTTGGATACATGATGAAATGAATCCACAACACTTATCAATTTCCTGATGTGTAAACAAAATAGTTCTAGCTCTAAGCTAACTAGTTCATGCTCATTTGCATGTTTGTCTTCTGTTTAAAATTTATTTGCCTTCTAATAGAATAATTTCCCCTCTATTTAAAGGTCATTATTTCCATTAGACCATAATATAAATCCCCTTATTTTAAGATTATGACAAATTTATTATACTATGCACAAAGAGCTGTGTTTTAGCTTCTCAATTCATAATATCTAATCAAGATTGAATCTCAGCTGTGATTTAGAGGGGAAATGAGTTGAGAACAGCTTGGAATTAATCATTCTTATAACTTAAACCTGTAAATTCATCATAATGTGGGAAGAACCACCCATGTCCACTCCAGCACGATGACCCAGGAGTCAGAATGCTAGCCCGTGAATCAATCAAAGGAGATGAATTTCTGGAATTTCCATGTATACTAAGTACAAGGGAAACTCATCTCACACTTCATTTTTGACCACTCCTGCCTCTTAGTAAAACTTCATCTTAGTGTAACTGAAGAAAACATCACATGCTAGCATTTAAATCTGTCTATTAATATGAGAAACAGTGGTTTCAGTTTTTATTTACTTGCTTACCACCTTGATGAACATTCATTGTGTGCCATAATTATTCTTAAAGTAAATTTTTATGATTCAACCCATGAAAGGTATGTTGTGCTTTCTTTAAGTAAAGATTGGAAAGATAGATTCAACTAGTCAAATTACATTTGTCCTAAATGGGCTAACATCTAAAATCAAATTGACTATATTATATTTGTTTGCACATTTCCCTGGTGTGATATCTAGGATGTATGTGACAGTGTCTGGAAGAGTGTTTTGTATTTGTCCTGTTTTGTTCTATGAAATAATTTAAAGTGTTTAAGTATACTTTAAGTCAGACATAATTTTACAAGTACTGGGATGTCAAAAAATGAATTGAACTTGATATCTGCCCTTGAGAAAGCCATGAAAAAGCAGGAATGAGGGACAAACATGACACCGTATGTCAAAATGTAATGTCATGAGTTTGTATGAGGCACCAGCCAGGTAGGGAGAAGCAGGGTGAAAAGGAGCCTGGGCTTCGTGTGGATGGCAGTCCTCTGCTTGAGTTCTAGTCGGAGAACTAATCCCATGCTCATACCGTCACCCAGGATGCAGAGAAAACCAGAACATGCGTCTCCTGGATACAAACTATTGCCTTCCTACTAAATTCAGCTGTCTCCAAGCACCTGGCCTTCCAAAACAAATTGGCAAAGCAAAAGCACGTTGGCCTCTCCCTTTTTTTCACACCCAAGCTCTCTAGTAGTAAAATATGAAGGATAATACATTTCCTTTTCAGACCACTAAGGTGCCATTTAATTCACTTCAGCAACGGCTACATAGGAACCTGCCTTTAAAAGGTGCTGAAAGCTACATACTGGTAATTTATTGCCACATGTATTAAAGCTTCAGAGAGAACCTGACTCCCTGGCTTTTAAATATAGTTGGGTTATTATGACGATGTTTCCTGATTTAAACCCTCCATAAATTAGATGAAATGATTATAGTAACTGTTGTGACTTCATTCTTGCCCTGTCTCCAATCATTCTTCTGCCTTCATTAATTCAGAATAAGATATCAAAACATTAATGTAGCATGCAGATATGGGAGGGCTCTATCTTTATAGCGTCAATACTCAATATGAAGCCACACTTGAAGATGTCTGTGCCTAATCATTTAAAAAAAGAAAATAAAAGCAAACATGCTCAGTACATTGCTGGACAGTTATAGGTGAGAAAACTAGGCCCTGAAATAGTAAGTGACTCACTGTGGGTGATTGTGCAAGCAGTTACAAGACTCGAAATACATGCCCATATATTCTAGCTCTGAACGCAATGCTCTTTCTAGTAGAACCTCTAATCTCCTGGAGAGTCTTTTACAGCAGTTTCTAGAGTGCTTTTTAGCAAAAGACATTGTTGCCAACATATAAACAAAAACAAAAATCTTGGCTTCTGCCATCACTTTATCATCGCTGTGTTTAGTTTATCACTTCACGGTCGTTATCTGGTGTTCTCTTACAGAAGGCAACAGACTACTCCAACAGAAACTATCCCTAGATGGCAACCCTAAACCTATATACGGAACAGCAGAGAGGTCAGATGGCCTACAGTGGTCAGCTGAGCAGCCTTGTAACCCAAGCAAGCCTAAGGCCAAAACATCTCCTGTTAAGTCCAATGCCCCTACAGCTCATCTTGAAATAAAGCCAGATGAGTTGGCAAAGAAAAGAGGTAAAGTTATTTCTTTTGCACAGATGATTCAATATATTTTACACACACAGAAAAGTGCCTGATAACAGCATTTTCCAAAAGATGCTGCCTAGTGAAGAAAATGAGCATGCAATTGTATTTATTTTTGTGACCTACATAGATTGAAAGGCAGGTGTGACTTCCCTCCACATTACTCAAAGTCTTGATTACTTAAATGAAGTTGTATCCACTGTCTCTGCCCTTCTTTGGCTTTTCTGATCTCAGTTGTCATAAACTTGCACCACAAATATTTTCAATCCTAATACTTTAAAAACAGGGTTCATCATAAGAGCCCTTTAAGAAATGTGGATGCTGAAAGAATGCATGTTTCTCTGGTACACAGGTTCTTGACTTGAATGAAGATGAGTCTAGAGGCTATTGTATCTTATTCAGAGGTGACCTTGACATGTAAATTCAGTCTCGGTTAGAACCTCCAGACAGTATAACTCTGAAAAAGAGGGATCTATACCTGGTGCTTTAGAATTTTATTATTTTTTTAAGCTTCGTTATATTTGACTCATAAGTAGTATTAAAAGTGAAAGGGAATAAATTACTCCCTTTCTGATTCTCAGACGATTAAATGATATGCTTCTCATTTAGCATCCCTTGTTTCTGATTTCTTGGAGTTTAGTGTGATATCCTTTCCCACTCTCCTGGACAGGAGATATTTTTTGCTTCTAAGAAACATGCCCTGATTGGGATAAGGCCAATCTGCCAAATTTGCTGTACGCTCTATGTAGACCCGAATGACGGTTCTAGGCAAGGTGGGCACCCACGGAGCTTCTGTAAGAGCTGCTGCTGAAATGACAGGCCTGGCTGATGGGGCCAGAGCCAGCACACCTGACACAGAGGTCCTCTCCTCTCCCTACCTCATTTGTACCTCACCCAGTCCCTGGGTCTTTTTCCTCTTCCATAAGACATGCTGGTTTTTACCCTCACAGAGTAGTGTTTATAGAGACCACCAAAGACAGCACGGTCAGTCTTTGGATGTATCAGATGCTGAGACACTACAGTTTGTGATAGAACACCAAGATGAGAGCCTCTTCCTAAAATGTATCCCCCAATAGCTTGGCCAGAAACCCACCTGAATGGTGAAATCACAGCAGGCTCTGGGCTTGAGGTATCCACTCTGTGAGTTATTTTGAGAAAGAAAAGATGAATTCTGTCCTCCTCTATGGTTGGTTTGTTTGGTTAATTGGTTGGTTAATTGCTTTGTTTTGTGGTTTACCTCAAGTAAAATATAAAAAATAAAGTACACAACTTACCATTTTTTTCTTGACATCAATTTTAGGCCCAAATATTGAGAAATCAGTGAAGGATTTACAACGCTGCACCGTTTCTCTAACAAGATACCGTGTTATGATCAAAGAGGAAGTGGACAGTTCCGTGAAGAAGATCAAAGCTGCCTTTGCTGAGTTACACAACTGGTAAGTAGTTGAGTTTTGGAACTCTAAGTGTATGAGCCCAGAGAACTTCCGGTAAGTAAGAACGTCAGGTGGACAAGGCTGTGTATTTAATTCACAATCATCACTGAGCAGTTCCCAGAGATTTTGAAGCACATGCTCTGGCAAATTATTCCTCTGGGGAATAATAAAGAAGAGAAAGGGTAAGAATAAAATAAAACCTAATAACATAGTTCATTGGAGTTTCAAGTTGACCCAAAGATGTTAAGAATGAATAAAACAAAACCTCAAAAAATAATTTTATTTACAAATCCATGAATGGCCAATATCATGAATTCTACTAAGAAAACAAAATGCTTCCAGCATCATCAAGGTGGGTCCAGCACAATGGCTCAATGGCTAAATTCTCACCTTATACATACTGGGATTCCCATATGGGCGCCAGTTCATGTCCCGGCTGATCCACTTCCCATCCAGCTCCCTGCTTCTGGCCTGGAAAAGCAGTAGAGGATGACCTAAAGCCTTGAGACCCTGCATCCACGCAAGAGACCTGCAAAAAGCTCCTGGCTCCTGGCTTCAGATGAGCTAAGCTCTGACCATTTCAGCCATTTCAGGAGTGAACCAACAGATGCAAATTCTGTCCTTCTCTCCATAAAACCGTTCTGACTTTCAAGTGAAATAATTAAATATTTTTTAGAAATCTATTTAACAAAAGGAAACAAATGCACTTAGCATTAAAGAATGGTGCATCAATGCAGTTTTGGTCCTGTCCTTGTCCTGCACTGTAGTTGCTATTGATGGGAAGACATTTCTTTGAGTCTTCATTTTCTTATACCCACAAAATGGAGTATGTGTTAGTATAAGTTACTATTGATAGGAAAATGTTCTCAGTATATCAGGACTCTCAGTTTCACGTTATAGAAACCCAAATCACACTACTTAAAAAGAAAAAGATATTTCTGAAAATTATATAAGAGTCCTTCATGCAAATTTATTTCTAAATACAAAATGTATTGTCAGTACTCAGTGTCTGTCTATCTTTCTCATCCTCTCTCAACTTGGACTTACTCTTAATTCTTCTGTGTCAGCAAAGAAGATCTCCCTTACATCTCCAAGCTTCCTGTAGCACTGAGATCTGGGAGAAGGCTTGGTTCCTAGGAGCTCTAGCAAAAGTCCAACGGCTAATTCTCATTGGCTGCACTAGCTTGCATATCTAAACTATCACAGTAGCAAGAGGAACAGCCTTCCTGCTAAATAGGCCAGAGTCCTGTGAACCCTGCCTCAGCCCCAGGGATGGAGTTGAACAATTAGGATCTTCCACAAGAAAATCCAGGTATTGACATGAAAAGGAAAAAAGCCAACGGAAAAACATACCCACAGTGCGCAGGTTCATGTAGCAGGTTCCCTTTAACTCATTGGCCTCCTGAAATTCTAAAATTTGATCACATTTCCCACAAATTTCCTGTTCCAAGTCCTTGCTTTGACACTGATGTGCTTTTTCACAAAAATTGTAGAGTTGTATAAAACTAAGGATTATACTTCACACTAACCTAATCTAAAATTCATGAGTTTAAAACCATCTGCTACATATGAGATTCTAAGGGTGCAGGGACTTGAAAGAAATGCTTATCATTCAGCCTTTCAAAGAGCTTTTTAAAAAAAAAATTCATTTTATTTATTTGAAAAGCAAAGCTAAAGAGGAAGAGACAGAGAAAAATCTTCCATACTTTGGTTCACTCCCCAAATGGTAAAAACTGGAGCCATAGGACTAGGCTGAAGCCAGCAGCCAGGAGACTCAGTCTCCCAAATGGGTACAGGAGCCCAATCCTCTGCTGCTTTCCCAGGCTATTAACAAAGAGCTGGATCAAAATGAAGCATCAGATGGAAACGAGCCCCAATGTGGGATGCTAGCACCACAGGAAGTGGCTTTGCTTGTTATGCCACAGCACCAGCCCCCAAAGACCCTCCAAGATGAGAAGTAATTACAAATCACACACACACGCACACCTGGTATGGTATCTATAGCTAACTGTTTAATTAGATATTAATCTAACTGTTATTAATCTAGCTGTTCAAGGCATTTCCAGGAAAGTATTATTATTATTGTTAATAACACCATCATAATCAAGTTAATGTAACTTTTCCAGTCTGTCTTTTAAGTAAGTCACCCTTATACCTCTAAATGTTCCCAACTTGCAGGCCTGTTCTCCAATGCTGGAGCCCACACACTTTCTCTCTGAAGGGCCATCTAGTAAATGTCTGAGCATTACAGCATAGGATCCCTGAATAATGCCTCAGTTCTATGAAAGCCAGCACTGATAACGCAAACAGCCAGCAGGCCAGGCTTGACTGGAGGGGATCATAGTGTGCCTGAAAGCATCTGAAAGCATCAGTACTGCTCAGAGCAGAACCTCTGCCTTATCATTTTGCATGGCATCGTAGGCTGAACTCTTCCTCTCGGCATCTCTGTGTGATGCCTGGAACTCTCATACTGATTGACCCAATGTGGCAATGACCTCCAACTACCTCTCCCTCCTCCAGCTGGTTGGAGTACTTTTTATTTTATTTTAGTTCACTTCTTAGTAAAATGAGCATCCCATAGGTCATGAGGCATCTTGAGATTTATAGCAGATTCTCTGAGCACTCTACTCTTCAAGAGCTGAAAGCACAAAGCCAGGAAAGTCAGCACCCACAGAAGCGGTGTGGCTTTTTCTCTGCTGGTAATTCACACTGCATTTTAGGCTGATGGGAGAGACCGCTTCTGAAGCAGCTCTGCCAGCGTTGCTGCTGCTGCTGCTTAGAAGTCACCTACTTAACAAAATGGCACTTTTCCTCCCAATGGAAGGAGAACAAAATTTAGAACAACCATTCTCTGTGTGCCATAGCTATAAAATGAGCAAATACTAGCACTTGTTTTCTGGTCTAACTTCTAATCAAAATGATCCCACAGTAATTGCATAAGTGGCATCTTAAAAATAAAACCAAAGTGCTTTCTTTTGTCAACGATTTATTTGCATGTGTTTCTGCCAAATAGAAAAATGTTGTTTCTCTTCCAGATAAGCCAGCTATTCGGCCAGCATGTAGATGTGCTTATAGGAAGTCTCCCTCTTATTTTCTAAGTGGACAAAAGAATAAATTTTAGGCATCATGGCACTTCTGAAAATGATCAGGTTTACAGAACAGAAGAGAGTGGCTTAGAAGTTTAAAAGAAAAAATGAAGCCTTCCTATAGATAGTAAAACCATGTACTCTAAGCATCAGAGCTTTGAATGTCAAACTCTTCATTGAGTATAGTTCTGACCTCAGTATAACACCATAAGGCATGTGGAGGACATAGGACAGATCCCATACTTTTCCAAAGGAGCAAAGTTCCTGGGGCAGACACTAACTGATGCGGCACTCAGCGAAAGGGACCCATACGTTCCTTGCCAATGCCTTACTTTGGGCCTCCAGATCTCCTAACTCCATAGCGGGGGTTGGACGTAGCTTAGAAATAGATAGAAACTCTCAAGCAAGAAATTCTAAATATTTACTCTGCTATGGAAGTGCCAGCTTGAGGACATGTGTCCTTACTTGACTAAATTCTACCAAAAAAAAAAAAAAACAACAACAACCCTTCTGGAAATCATGGGAATGCTGATTTTGAGAGACTGGGAGAAAACAGTTGTTTGTACATGCTTATTGCCAAGTGAAAGCACATCGGGATTAAATGAGCTGAATGCTTATCCTTCCACAGTTTTGAAGAAAACCGTTAAATAGCTCATATATAAAATTAAAGATGGCATTTAACCAAGACAGAGTTCCATAGGGCTCAGTGACCATAACAGAGCGTTCTCATTTTCCCAGATGCATCTGGGGATCTGAGAAAAGAACAAAGATGACAGTATGCTCCCACAACGGGTCCTAACAGGAAATAAATTTGGCAACATGAGATGAAAAGTCACATTGGGAGCTAACATGAAACAGCTGGTCCTTTCCCATATGGTTGGCCTCCTACCACAACTGGAAAATATTCATCCTTGGACTTTAAGCTGCCAGATCTAGTTGCTTTATGTGCAGACAAGTCAAGCTTCTTGTCACAAATGTGTGTGTGTGTGTGTGTGTGTGTGTGTGTGTGTGTCCATGTTGATCATGAATGCTTACAAATAAACAATAGATGGTTAAATTCAATAAATATCGAGGAAGTAGAATAATACTTGGGAGTTGTGCCATATGCTGGGGGAGAACATATTTTAAGATAGAGATGTAAAAATTCTGGTAGGTATGATTGTCATTTCAGCATGTAATCAAAAACTGTCTCAGGAAAATGGGGGCCAGAGAACAGTCCCTTCAGGTTGCTTTGCTTTGGTTTAGGAAAAGAAAATCCATCAAAGCATGCATTCTACATAAAGAGGCCAGAAGCAGTCCTAGTCTCTCTGTTGATTTTTTTTTTCTGTTACAGGCCTGACCACACAGAATTTAAAAGTGGGTCAGAAGTTTCCGCTGTCCTAACCCGTGAATCACTGCCTGCTTTTCCTATATCCTCTCCTCCTTCACATCATGTCCTTGTTCATACCAGACACAGAACACGCCACCTACTGCTGCCCACAGGAAGGGCTGCTCACCCTCACACCTCCGTCAAGCCTGGAGCTTGCCAAGGAGTCTCTATTCCTGGTCTTTACCTCCTTTTAACCAGTGAATCGTATTTGTCTTGTGTAACAGATAACTTCATCCTTTTGATGATGTGGCTTCCTTTCCAAAGCCACACATTTGCATGTTAACAAGTGCTCTGTTGACACTTTTTCCCTTAGCCAAAAGAATAACTCAAAGTGAGAATTTCAGGCTGAAAGGAAAACTATTTTGAGATAAGTGTATCTTCTGGCATCCCTCGAATCCCTCTCATCTGCTGCCGAAACCCTATTGGTAGCCAAGCAAAATCCTGCCAGAGTATCAAGGTGGCTGCACACAGGCCAGATAGCATCACTGTGACATTTGAAATACACTGTCTTTTTCCTAGGCACCAGCTGGAGAAGGCCTCCCAAGTGA